CAGTTTCATCTTGTAATTGCAAATCCAGCTTTAGTTACAATGGATAATAAGGGGGAGAGGGTAGAAATATATAAATATATTTATATATCATATCGTCTTCGATCCTCTTGACTGCAATGCGTTTTTCCATACGAAATTATATACGCGATTTCATATATAGGAAAATAGAAGTTGAAATTTTACATTCGGTTTAAGCTTCTTAGCTGGGATATTAATCGTAGTAGATAAACCAATTTTTATATAAATTTGCTGTATTAAAAAAAAAAAAAAACTGTGTTTGAACGAGAACTGTAAAGCGTTTTTTTTTTTAATAATTATTGTATAAATAACTAATAACTATTTGTTAGTTTCAGCTGCAAAAAATCTTATATTTAAAAGTTGTAAATTAATTTCATTAATTTGATTAATTGTAAATTTAATAATTAAAAATTAGTTCGTTTTAGCTAAAAGATACATAAGATTAATTTTCACATTCATTTTTTAAATGTAGATACATATAATTAATTTTCACATTAATTTTTTAAATGTAGATGTATTTAAAAGAAATTGTTTTTTAATATTGCATTAAATAAAATTTTTGGTAATGCTGGAGGAACCAAAATTTAAATTAAATTTAAATGTTGCTTGCCCGAAATTTTTTTAGCCTTTTAATAAACAAAAAAAGTTAGCGTATTTCAGTTTCGTTGTAGTTGCAACAAAATTTTCCTTTTGCATTTGTTGTTTTGCCCAAAAATTCACGCACTTTTTGTGCGGCTCTCTATGTGAATGTGATAGAGTCTATATAAGAGTGGCTGTATGTGTGTGTGTGTAAGTGTTGTGGCAAGTACATAGAGGCGCCTTTATGTGCGCAGATTGCCCTGCTGGCCAAAATGCTGGCTCTATGGAGGAAGCGGGCGCATTTCGGCATTCGCTTTTCACTTTCGCCAGCGCCACCTAGTGACGGCTGGGCGCGGAGCGGGTGAAGAGGGGACATTCAATGGGAGGAGTTGGAAAACTTTCGACATCAAAAAGAACTACTTTCGATAATCACAGGGCTGGCGCCAAAGGAATTACATTTGCCGGCTGTGCGTAGCTGTTTTTTTTTTTTTTTTTTACAGCTTTATTTTTGTTTTTTAGGCTTCTGGCTTTAAAGTTTTTGGCGAATAATTCAGCCGTTGCCTATTTTTATGCGAATTTTATATATATACATTTTTCCGCTCATTTTTATGCATTTTTTATGGACTTTATGTTTTATTGTTTTGCGGCGATGAGCTCAGCGCAATTTGCAAATATTTTCTTTTATAGTTATTCATAGTTATTCTTTATATTTCTCAGCAGCTATTATTAATTAAGTTGAAGGGAATTTTCTCTGTCAGTTTCGCTGCTTAAACTTTTCATTTTTTGCAGCCTGAAGAATTTTCAGCAAATGACATCATGAGGCTGTGAACGGCGAAAATGCAACAGAAAAACTTTGGTGGTGGATTTTTTGGGGGTGCACAAACCGGTTTTCCCAATGAAAACCCTTTTCCCATTTGATGAAAGCTAAATTGTTGCAGTTAAGTAATTTCAGCGTGAATAAGTTCTTAATAAAAGGGTTGCTCACCTTGATGAGCAGCCACTCAGTGGGTGGGGAGCAGGGAAGCTGACTATTATTAGCTCGGAAAATCGACATGCATTTTCATTAGAGAAAATATAGCGAGAAAACGGGCTTCTGGTAGCCCAATTTCTTAGAAAAATAGTATTTATATAATTAATATGTAATATTA